GTCGGCACTCCGGCAGGCGGGCACCCCGGGCAGGGCGGGCACCCCGGCGGCCTGCACCCTCACTTCGGCCACGGCCACGGGAAGTACGGCTACCCACATTCTGTGCAGTCTCTCGGATCAGGTAAGATTCATTCCTACCGCAACTTCTCCATTGCTTGCGCTGCACCCATTGCCCGTCAGCGCGCCACAAAGGGCATGGTTTAGTGGATTAGGGGACTAATGCATGGCGGCGATCGTGACTAGAATTCCTACTACAGTGTACCACCACCCGTCCATCCACTAGATTTGGAGACTGTTCTGGGAGTTGAAATAATTTGTCGTACAACGCGATCTTGTTCTTTCTCTTTCGGTATTTTCGTTCCGTCAGATCGGGAAGGGAAGTGGTTTTGTGGAATAAGTAGGTTGGCAGACCCTAGGGTCTGACAGCTGTGTGTGTGTGTGTGTCGAGGGGGACGAGTTGGCGTGGGTCCGCGGCTGCGGGGTGTGTCGTTGGCATGGCACGGCGTAGCATGGCTTGCATCCAGAGGTCGCGTTCCGCTGAATTGTGTACCTTGTCAGATTATATGTCAGCAGTAACCCCACGTCCCCAGCATTTTTGCCTTGGAAAGGGCGGAAGCTACGATGCCGTGATAGGTTGCCGAGGCCGTGTTTTTTAGGTGCGGGCGGGTCCCTTGCCGTAATTTTAGACGCGGTTCTTGTAGCGTAACAAATAGATAAGTCGTCGTTAATTTCGGCCGTCTACATTTAAAGCCGTGTCATCAAACATGAGTTACGCCTCCCGTCATTTTCTCTACCTTCGCCATTACAGATCAATAAGAAATTCGCCGGTGCACAAATCGTGTTGATTGTTACCTCGCTGCTGGGACCGCGCCGCCATTGCCTCTAATTGAAAGCACAAGGTTCGATCCTCGCTGATAAGGCGAGGTGATGTGTGCTGTCCGACATGTCAGATCACGGTGGCCTCTCCAAATATCGTCTGTCCAGAGTCTACCGAAAGTGGCGGGAAGGCAAAAATGTGGTCTGTGTCCTGCACACTCGTGCATGGTGTGGGCGGTTTGGAGTCGAGAGGCCCGGTTGAGAAAACAAAGGGATACAGGAGGATGTTTATTCTCAAGCGTGTTGGAGAGCCCCGGAGAGGCCTTGGGGCACGGCGGGTTGGGGACCAGGGCGCGCTCGGAAGGCCAGGCATCCGAGTGCCGTCCGGCTAAACCACTGGTTGAAATTACGGGATCTTTTGCAGGGTTGCTGTTCAAAGCTTGCCGTATCCGAGAAAATTATTGTCATTGTATTTGAGCCGAGTCCGCAGGCGATTTTGAACGCTCCAAGAAAGGGGCTGATCGCATGTGAAATGCATATGTTGCCTATGCAACCCACACCGCGCAGGGCACACCCCGGGGCTATTTATTTTGGCGGTGACAGCAGCCGTACTCACACCCCGGCGTGTCCGGGGATCGCTGGTATGACGGACGCTCTTCTGAGCCTTCCGACAGTCGCTCTGTTCAAAGTTCCTTCCCTTTGGAAGCCATCCAACTTCCTTACATCATCTCAGGAGCTTTTTCTTTGGAGTCGTGTGATAGCTTTAGGAGACTTTTAGACGGTGTCGTTTCTTTTTTCCCCGAACTCTCCAAGGGGTGGCTGTTGTCAAACGGCACAGCGTGACCGCGATTTGATTGTTGTGCACGCTTGAAAGCGCCCAGTTGGCAGCGCCGGCCTGTAGCCGCGGTGTGAATGGCACAAGTCAGCGCATAGAAACAATCACAGCTTTCACACATCGTGAAGAATGACACACTTCACATGGCTGCCTCAACTCTCCTCCCGGGGCGGCGCCCGCTCCAACACACAACGCTCTAGGCTAGCCTCCACCAGGCCTTTCTACGGGAATACGGCTCGTAGGCAAAAAAGAGAATAAAATTGGCCAAGGTAGTCCGGCTGCGGGGAGGTAGTTTCTTTCCCTCCGAACTACGCGGCCAAGTCAAACCCCAAGGTGGCCAAACTCCTCTAGTAAATATTATCCTATGTATAGCCAACGTAGTTAGTCTGATAGAGACTACAACGCTCAAGTTTGTTACAGCACACAAAAAATAAAATAGATCTAATACTAAAGGCCACAAGTGTAAGTTGGACAACAACGTCAAACCCTAATCCATAGATTGTCCCAAATGCAAACGAACCATAGCTTGGCAATCATTCTGGCTAAATTGGCGCGAAGGCTTTTTTTACCTTGCCGAGCGACCTGAGTGCAAGAAAAAATCGCTAACAATCTTCTTACATAATACCAAGTGCCTTATTATAGTGTTCTTATTGAATAAACCTTTTATAAGACATTTTCTTCTTCAAAGACATAAAAGTGCTATATATAGGAAAACTGCGCGCAGAAAATTTCAAGTCGTTATATAACGATATAACGTGCTCTTGAAAGGCTGATAATCATTTGTTCCATGCGTTTTTACCACAAGAAAAAGCCTCATTATATTTCGACGCACAGTTAGATCCTCACTCTTCAATCCTCTGATTTGAAATCTTGAAATCTTGAAATCGCATTTCGAAAAGAAAAGGCGACTCTTTCGTAACAATGTCGTTAGGTTTCAGCATTAGTATAAAAGCTTGCGAAAAATTATTGTAGAACTGCCAACATTCAGTTGCTAGTTACTATTACTGTGAAGAACGCCAGGTTGCTCATAAAAATATTGTTGAAAAAAAGTGAAACAAAGAGGAAGAGGAAGATAATGTCCTTGATCAAATTAAGAGGAAGAACTTGAAAATAGAGGAACATACAAGACACCCGCAGTACTCAGGTACTCAGTTTCAAACACACCACTCAAAATATCAGGAGGACATGAAGATATTATGATAGTAGAAGAGAAGGTGAGGTGTAGTTGTATACTAGTATACTAGTATGTTGTGACGGCAGACAACGACAATAGAGCAAAAAATGTCTTTGCATCCCCTGCCCTATTCCTAGGATAGTGACAAGAGAAACTAGCTCAGATAGCATCAGAACAGGAAAATATAACATACGTGTCTATAGTATCATGTAGAAAGTATTGGAGCGAGATTTGTACTATTTCAGATCCAGTCGGTACTACAACACTTCAATATGAAGACGGCATTCATAATGAAGTGTTTTTCTCTTTCTGTTTAGCCCTTAGGACCCGTAGTGCAGCCCGCCCTACTGACAAGTTGACAGTACAGATATGGAAGCTGAATGTCATCTTGTGCGAAGCTTGATTTGAAGAGCTGGAGTGTAGCCTAAAGGTTTCTAAGCTCTGGTTTTGCCATAGTTAGACATGCACTAGCCTCCATAGCAGTTTTATAGAACTAGGAGTTTGGTGGTCTTCGGCTGTTTTCTGATTAGTCCAGTTCTAAAAACGGGGGTAATTCAACCAGGTCGGCTATGTTGTCTATATGCAATTAGAAAATAGCACATAAAAGCTCCCAACGACCATGAAGACCCCAGAACCCCCCAGTTTTTGGCATGCTATGGAGGCTAGACACGCACGATTTATGTGACTGTTTGGTGTTGTTTGGGTGTGAATATCGTGCAACCGGTTCACGTTGCACCTGAATACGACGCAAGTCGACCTTTTGCCTGTTTTGGTGAGTTGTTTGTTTGTCCTCAGTTGAACAGTTATTGTCAGATTTATCCAAGCATAGTTCCAAGCGCAGATCCTACCTCAGTTCTACCTTTGTGAGGACCGTGCGCGTATTTCCTTCTCAAGATAATTCCCTGCAAGATTCTTTAGTTGTTTGAAATTCGTCTCGTTTTTATCATATTTTTCTACAGTATTGTCTGATAAAGATTCCAAACAAATCAGTCTGTGACTGTGTCACCAGTGCAGTGGAGACAATGTACATTTTCAACTTTTTGACTCCACTAAACATTGAAAACCCTCTGCATGGCATACATCGTACGGCTTCAAATCAGTGAGCAAGCTTGAAACAATCATTACTTCATCAAATGGTCGTTTCTCGTCCATGGATGTTTCGGACCGACGCGGAAGACTTGTAAGCGTTTTGCAAACACAAAGACCCTAAATCTAATTTCAGAGCCCAACAAAGTACATTAATCTCATTGAAAGCCCATTAGTCCAGCATCCATTACACAAGGACGTGTTCCAATATCTGCACCCCACCGAAGGATGGAAAGTGTATTCGACTACTGTAGTACTTCTCTCTTTTGCTGTTCAGATTCTTGTTGAGGAAGAAGGTGGCAATTCTATGGTTATATATAGCCCACAAACTACTGGAGATTTTTCCTATTGTGTTATATAACCTGGCTCTAAAATGTTGACCTAATCTGCAATGATCTTTACGTTCGAATACTACCTTTCCTTGCACATGACAGAGTATTGTGCAGTTCAGATTCTTGTTGACGAAGAGGGTGACAATTCTACGGTTATATAGCCCAAACTACTGGATATGTTCTCCTATTGTGTTAGATAACCTGGCTATAAAATGCGGACGTAATGATCTTTACGTTCGACTACTAGTACTACCTTTCCTTGCACTTGACAGAGCATTATGCAGTTCAGATTCTTGTTGGCGAAGAAGGTGGCAATTCTACGGTTATATAGTCCACAAACTACTGGGGATTTTCACCTATTGTGTTAGATAACTGGCTCTAAAATGCGGACGTAATGATCTTTACGTTCGACTACTAGTACTACCTTTCCTTGCACATGACAGAGCATTATGCAGTTCAGATTCTTGTTGAAGAAGGTGACAATTCTACGGTTATATAGCCCACAAACTACTGGAGATTTCCTCCTATTTGTGTTAGATATTTAAACCTGGCTCCAAAATGCGGACGTAATAATCTTTACGTTCGCTGACTACCACACCTTTCCTTGCACATGACAGAGCATAGAAGTGACCGCTCTGTTGTCGTTTTGGGAAACTAGACTTGCTGATTCAGTTTTACGAGAGGGCCGAGTCGATATCTCGTCCAGTCCCTAAAGATACCGTTAACCGTCCCAAATCCACCAAACCTAATTTGGAGGATCAGAAGGACGATGTAGATCAATCACGCCAACGCATCAGCGCGACCCCTTTCATGGGAAAGAAGAAATATAATTTCCATGCGAGCTCGTGATGTTTACGGGTCCGCGGAGGGTTGGTTCA